TGAAAGAGATGCAGAAGCAGAAACAAGCTTAATCTCTGAGACTGCCAATGCCTATAAAAGGTAGCGTGAAGAGGAGAGTGGAGATTTAGAATTCTTCCTGTGACCATGGCCTCGGAACATGCAGTGTGGGAGGCCCACATGTTTTAAAACTCCTTGGTCATGGAATCTCCACTACAGATCTACCCAAAGCAGGAGAATGTACCTGTCCCACGGCCATGTGAATGACACCTTAAGTAGGTGAACTGGTGCCATCCATCCTAGACAGGGAAGAGGACACACTTTCAGAACGGTGCAAGGACTCGCAATGAAATACATCGTAACATGTGAAACTAGGAAAAACTATGATTTCCGCATTGAAGCATTTTTAAAAATATGTAAATTTTTAAAGAATTGTTTAATTTTGTTTATTTGTTATTATTATTTTAATTTGCTATAGCACATGTGAGCTCACCAGAGAGAGACAGCAAGAGAGAGAGAGAACGTGAGAAAGCAAGCTGCCAGGTCCAGGATTCAAACCATGTCAACCATCTGGGAGTCCAGCACCCTAATCACCATACCACCTGCTGGCCCCTGTAATACGTAATTTTAAATGTGTATGAATGTGAAGCTAGGTCAAAGTTAAACTAATAAGATGCTTCATAATTTTATTTATATTCCTAAAAGTTAGTAAGTCCAAACTCATTAAAAGTAACTCTTTTTCAATCTTTTCTATGGGAAAATGGTGGCCCACCACCCACCATCTTACTGGAATCACCAGGCATATTCGGTAAGTCTGAGCAATGACTGTCTTATGAGAAAGCTGTGTATTCCTAAGACTGCAAAGACTTGCTTGGTTGAATAAATGAATAAACTTGCTTTTAAAAGGGATCACATTACTTCATGTTCGTGTCATTGATATATTTGAATCATGTGGAGTTTATGCTAAATTTGGCTAGGGTGATCAGTGATCACCCCTCTTGCCCTCAAATTTTATTTACTTATTTTTATCGTATTTTATTATTTATTTATTTATTTTACATTCATTCACTGAACATCATCACAGCATACAAAATGTGATTTCCCATCCGGAATACACTGCATAGTGGCTTAATCATACATGTTATCGACAAATAATTTTCCATTTCTTATGTGTGTGCGTGTGTGTGTGTATGTATATATATATATATATATTCTATATATATATATAAAACCCTCTGCCATTTCTCATCCTCCTCCCACATTGTCTCAGGTATCCACAGTTGCTTTCCATTCCTTTCCCCCCCACACACACATTTTATTGATTCACAAAATATCTTAATTAATCTACTTTTACTAACAAGTTAAGCTGATATATACATATCTGTGAACACACGTCTGACCTTAGGCATGAAGCTCTGAACAGAATAAATATACTATAAAAATATACTATAAAGTAGCATCCAGTTGATGCTATGTAGCTTACTGAGGTCATTAAATAGGTATTTTTTAATATCAAGATAAGCAGTTTTAACTTTAATAAACCAAAATTTTAAAAAGGCTAGGAGAACTTTGCTTAAAACTTAAAGCCAGGAAACAGGTTAGGATTCTGTTCAAATAGTAAGTATATGAACCTATTGGTAGCTCAAGACAAGACAAAAACCCTTAAATCTGGAAAACAAAGCATAGAAGAAAATCAGTAATGTTTTAGTCAAAAGCCATAAGATTATATTTTTTTAGTTTATAAAGAGATTTTACACAATGTAATATACAGCCCACAGCAGGTGAGTTAATACAGTAGTTGATACACGTCATCACCAACAGGCAACAAACCATATCTGTGTAACACAAATGTCTTACTTCTCCATATTTTCCTAAATTTCCCTTCCTGCACTCTTCCCCTCTCCCACTCTCCTTCCACTTTGTCCCCAGTGCCCATAATAATTTTTAATCCTTTTATGTCCTCTAGTCTTTCGGTCTCTACCATAAAGTGTAGACAATCAGTATGTGTTAAGTGGAGACATACAATGTCTGTTTCATAGCCTAACTTGCTTCTTCAGCAATAGATCTTCCACATTTATCCACTTTCTATCAAATGCCAGGATCTTGTTGTTTTTTATGGCTGAATAGTATTCCATGGAGTATATGTGCCACACTTTTTCAATCCATTCATCTGTTTGTGAACATTTGGGTTGGTTCCATGTCTTAGCTATTGTGAATAATGCCGCAATAAATATAACTGTGCAAGCGTTTTTCCGACAAGATTCTCCTGTCCTTTGGGTAGATATCCAGGAGCAGAACTGCTGGATCATATGGTAGTTCTATTTGAAGGTCCTTGAGGAATCTCCATATTGTTCTCCACAGCAACTGGACCAATTTACATTCCCGTGTAGGAGATTTACATAGCAGTGTAGGAGAGTTCTCCTTTCACCACACGCCCGCCAGCACTTATCATTTTTTTTTTTTTTTAATCTTCGCCGTTCTGACTGGGGTTAGGTGGTATCTCATTGTGGTTTTGATCTGCATCTTCCTTATGATGAAGGATGTTGAGCATTTTTTAATATGCTTTTTGGTTGTTCATATGTCTTCCTTAGAGAGTTGTTTATTCAGCTCATTTTCCCACCTTTTAATTGGGTTAATCATTTTCTTTCAGATAAGCTACTTGAGCTCCCTGTGTATTCTGATTATCAGCCCCTTATCTGAGGCATAGTTAACAAAAATTCTCTCCTATTCCGGGGGTTGTCTATTCACACTAATTACTGTGTACCTTTGTTGTGCAGAAACTTCTTAATCTGATGTAATCCCACCTGGTTATTTTGGGTATACAGGATCTTTTATGATTCCAGACAAATTCTATGATTGTCTTTTCTAGATCTGTGAAGAATATCCCTTGTAATTTTATAGGGATTGCATTAAATATGTAGATTAATTTGGGTAGAATTGTCATTATATTAATTCTCCCAATCCAGGAACATGGGATGTTCTTCCACTTTTTTTGTGTTCTTTTTTATTTCTTTTTTAATATTTTCATAGTTTTCCTTATAGAGGTCTTTAACTTCCTTGGTTAGTTTTGTTCCTAAGTATCTTATATTTTTTGTGGCTATGGTAAATGGGATTACTTTCTTCAGTTCTGTCTCTGCTTGTTGTTTGTATATAGAAATGCTAAAGATTTTTGTAAGTTAATTTTGTGTCCTGCCTCTTTACTGTATATATTTATTTTATTTATTCCACAAAGAAGTTTCCTTGTGGATACTATTGGGCCTTCTATGTATGCAATCACGTCATCTGCAAACAAAGATCATTTCAATTCTTCTTTCCC